CCAACGCACCAACCGTGCAGTCAAATATTAAATTCAAAAATACATGTTTTTGATAAACAAGTGAATATAACTATTTGCCGAATTCCTTTTTTCTAATCTGCCCACTGATATAATTTATATTAAATTCAAAAAGACATGTTTTTGATAAACAAGTACTAATATACAACAAGGAACCCGATGCTGCGCCAATACCGCGTGGAGTAAATTTATTTATAACACAGCACTGTCTACGACCCGATTTCATTTATTTTCATTTTCCGGGTACAATAAATAAACGATGCTATTGTTTTCAAGGTTAGATTCTTTATTTTAATCCACAGTTTGTTTTGTGTAATAAATAAATGCTGTTCTATATTCTGGCTATATATAAAACTAGCTACTTTCGCGCGGTTTCACACGCTCTGCTCAGCTCCTATTGGTTGTAGAGTGATGTTTTATAGCCTATAACCATCCTCGATAAATGCGCTATCCAACACAAAAAGAATTATTCAAATCAGACTTGTAGTTACGGAGATTAGCGCGTTCAAATAAACAAACAAAAAAACAAACTCTTCCGCTTTATATATTAGTTTATACCTCTATAATAGTATAAGATTACTTTAGGACTTTTTGATTCTCTTGTTATAGACGACTCAAAAACATTTTATTGAAACTCAGTTTCACAGTGGATTAGCCAAGAAATTTTACAAAGCTACATAAGAAACTTGCTTCTATAATTATATATATTCAAATCTAGTGAGTAACTACTGTTTTGAGCCGTTTGGGGTTGAAATACTTGGGCCATGGGGTCCCAGTGCACAATCTGGCTATAAAGATAGGCCGTAGGCTAATGGACTGTACACGTGACCAAAGGGCAGGTTATTTCTTCGGACAGAAAATAAGCATTGCCATTCAACGTGGCAATGCTGCCAGTCTTCTGGGAACGTACCCCGATAATAGTGATGCGGACGATTACTTTGACGCCTAAATTAAGGGTATAATTTTTGTTCCTTTTTTTTACCTTCTTTTAATTCAATAGTTTAGTTGTAGTTAATTTGTTAGTATTGTAAATATTAATTAAAACTTTTGTATTCGTAACTAAAAGATTTTTATTTAAATTTATTGTAGTTTTGGCGATTGAAGTCTATATTAAGTTTATTTAAACAATCTGTGTCTTTCACGCTCAGTAGGCGAGTTGGGAATCGCAGTATAAGGTTCAGTTTTATCACAGAGCTGCTACCAATCTCTGTCAAATATCTAGTCCCTTGGTCGAGGGAACTTAGGGGAGTGAGTGGGAATCATTCAATTTTATACTTTTGCACTTCGAGCCGGTAACCCCGGTAACCCGCTAGTTTGTCCGCAGCTCACACTTCTGATACTAGAGGTAGAGGTATGATAAATGTATATATGATACTACTCCGCCAGAACTCGTGTAGGTATATATATATATATATATATATATTTAAAGCCACGTCATTTTCTAGGAGGTAACTCGGCTACAGATTCTGAGTCCGAATCAATAAAAAAAAATTGTAGGTAAATATTTTTCATTTTTCTGTAAATTACGGAAATCCGTAAGTGTGAACTACACGCCGCCATCTTGTTACTAGCTTTATAACGCGGCTTAACATAGACAAACTCAAACACGTAATTGATATATTCCTAATTCCATAAAACTCCAATAAGAAACATTGCTGTCGCTTATTCTGAAATACTGTCGAACTTAAACGATTTATTATAGCCGTATTTTTAACTATTGGCCCAAAATTTTCTCTTACATTGAAACTTTATGCCTTCTGTGACATGCCCCCGAGAAATGTTACGGTTTTAAAACTACACCTTGTATATTACTTTACAAATGATATTATATTTCTGTAGAAATAATTAATTAGTAAAGTGAACATCACGACATGGACTGCACATGACATGGGGTCATAAAACCTTTGATTGATGACTTAATAAAGAGCGCTAATTAAAGAGGGGTCGTGAGGTCGTGACGTCATCGATTTACACCCCAAATTAGTAGTAGCTATACCAAACACTGTTTCCCTCAGGGTTTTGTACTTTGGAAAGAGTAATATTTTCATTAAAAAAAGACTGACTGGCAGACATTTTCATTTATTGGTATATATGTATATTGAAGTCGACAAATACGTTAGTAACATTTTGGTCTTATTGAAATACTAGCGACCCGCCCGGGCTTCGCACGGGTGCAATATGCATGTATTATGCATATAAACCTTCCTTAAGAATCACTCTATTAAAGAAAACTGCATAAAATCCGTTGCGTAGTTTTAAAGATCTAAGCATAAGTAGGGACGTCGCGGAGAACCTAACGGTCGCGGTGAACCTAATGGGTAACCGGGGCTCCGGCTCGACGTGCAGGAGAAGGAACGGGGTGGTTTTTAGTCAGTAAGAGTGTATGACGCTCCCTCCCACCTCACCCAGGCGGGAGCAGTCATTCGATGACATTCCCCCCTTAAAATAAAAAAGCATACATAGGGACAGACAGACGGCGGACAGTGACTTTGTTTTATAATATGTAGTGAAGTGATTTTGTCTCGTTGGTCAAGTGATACTGAGCTTGATTCTTGGACCAGACAAGGTACTTATTAATAATAATAATCATTTATTTCAGACCTTGTCCATATTCTTGTTAGTAACATAAACTTGTTAGAAGACATTATATCAATTCAATAAGTCAATATACAAACAAATAGGTACAGACAGAACAGTACAAAATCATACAAATAATTATCATAATAAGTAATCCACGAGTTGATTTTTATTGTGTTTATATCGTCCTTTTCAACCGACATTAAAAAAAGAAATGGGCGTCTCACTATGTCGATCTACGTCTATCACGAAAGGCGTGATGTTATGTTATTAAATTTTGTTTTGTCAGTTTTTTTGTTGACATTCAAAAGTGCCTTCCTGGTCTATTTGAAATAACTGATTTTGACTTTGACTTTTGACTAACTAGTAACATGGAATATCTTGATCTACTTACTGGTCATCGGTACCTACATAATAATGTCTTTATAACGGACCAGCCAATACAGACCGTATTTACTATTCCAGAGCTGCCCACGCGCATGTTTAGAACTCCTAACTACAACTGTATGCACTAAGGTAAACACTGTACTATTATCGTTTAGAAAGTCTTAGTCTAGAATTCTAGATCTTTATTTATTGCCTAGATTTTGTGCTAGTTTGAATATATAATATGCGTTTTCGCTAACTACTCCTAAATTTTATGGAACCAATCTACTAAGATAAATAATATAATATTATAATGATAATTTAGTTTGTACCAACCTGTAAGTGACACCTATAGGTCAGTGGTTTGCGTAGGTGATCTCTCACGCTAAGTGACTCTTAGTTAAGAGATCGTTTAGGGGTGGCGAAAATGGGAAAAATGTCTTTTATATCATATCCCGGTTTTTTTTATAACAAAAATTTTTCTTTTCGTCTTACATAACATAACATCACGCCTTTTATCCCTGAAGGGGTAGGCAGAGGTGCACATTATGGCACTTGATGCCACTGTACAAT